CCATGAGCATAGTCGGGAGATCCAAGAAGAAGGAGAAGGAGCTCCTGGCCTGGGATGAATGGCTACGAAAGAAGCTGCCGACCAAGGTGGAACAAGATCGCGGGCTGAAACTGGAAGATATGGAGATCGTCATGAATTGGAAGGTTAGCCGCGCCCTTTCCTTGCTTCAATGCTCACGCCTGTTAGTGGACGAAGGGGAGGGGGTTACCACAGACTTGCAGTATCTCTCCACCAAAATATTGTATCTCGACCTGTCAAGAGCCTCGCTTCCGTTCACAGCCTCTTCCACCTTCAGCGCGATCAGTCTGGAGCACCACGACGATGAAAGGGAGGGAGGGGATGAAGCAACCTGACATTTGCCGACGGAGATTCTTTCCCTAAGATCCGACAAGGTCCGTTCTTTCATCACGATCTGACCCTCGGTCATCGAACCTTCAAACCGATCGGATCTACAGCAACCTGCTGCCCCAGTGTCTTCTTCACTTCGGACGCCACCTGCCCCCCGCTCAGAGTGTCATTGAGCTCCTCGCTGAGCTTCTGGAACTCGAGGTTCGCTGCTGCCAGCAGCTGTCGCTCGTCCTCATCGTAACCCTGACCGCATGTGCGTCACTCACCCGCACACTCAGAGTTATGCAGTGAATGACGACAAACGAGAGGAAGGAGGAGGAAAGAGTGAAAGCAGCGAGGAGGTCAGAGGAGTTGAGAGGAGGCGGAGAGAGGAACCTTTGGCTGGTGGTCGATCATGGACGAGGGATTCGCAACAAGCAGCTCGTCCTCCAACGTCTCAATGTGTCCACAGTTCTCTGCGAAGTTGACAAACCGATAGACGTTGTGCACCATGTGCATGAGCTCGGTAGAGGCCATCTGAGAGTCTTGGCACTTGTCCCGCGCCTGAGCGATCATGAGGGACAGTAGCTTCAGGTAGGTGTCCAGCTCTTCCACTCGCCCCGACTCCTTCGACTTGGAGAAGGCGTTGACAAGGCGCGAGAGGAGGTGAGGAAGGTGAGCCTGGCTCTCCTTGGACAGGTTCCTCCTGAGGGAGTCATCGAGCTCGTAGAAGTCCTCTATCCTCTTCTCCACCATCCAGTGCCTCGAGCCGAAGGTGGCCCGGACGAGGAAGACGGTGAACGGCCTTGAGATCTCCTGTCTGATGTCGAAGTCGACGACTGTGACGTGAAGGTCATGCTCTTGCAAATGAGCCTCCGCCTGTCCCTGTCTAACTTCAGGTTTTCGTCGGGCAGATCGCAGAGCTCTCGGCATGTTGACGTACTACATGCTTCAACCCCCATGCCTTCTTCCGCCCTCCTCATCAAACCCACACATACACATTCATTATCCTCCTCCTCCTCCTCCACTCACTCGTTCTTGTCGCTGGCTCCCTGCCATGTCGGCCGGAAGTTGCAAGCTGAAAGTTTGACCCACAGAAAAAATGAAGAACTTTCCAACGCTTCAACGTTTCAAAGTTTCAAAGTTTCGGCATGCATGGTTGGATGAGTCTGTGGATTGTGAGCTGGGCGGCGATGCAGGAGGGAGCGGGGGGAGGCTGACTTGCGGCCATGGGGAGGCACAAGAAGAGAGATCCATCCCCCCTCCAGCAGCTCGAGCAGCTTCAGCCCTTCAAAGCCGCTGAGAAGCGGTTCAAGCGCTACCAGGGCCTCCGCACCGACTTCTCAGACGTCCTCAGGTTCCGACGCGAGCTGACCCAGGGGCCGCAAGACGTGGAGGCTCATGCTGTACCGGGGCGCGAAGGACTCTTCGTCTTCCCTGGTCTGCTCTCGGCCTCGGAGCAGATCTCCCTCCTCGAGCGATGCCTCAAGGTCTACCCCCGTCCTCCCCACAAGTCAAACCTGCTGCCGCTGCATGGGCGTGTGAGTTCTGCCGACGGGCTGAAGGTGCTCTGACGAGGTTTGTTCAGATCGACGACCCATGGGCACAAGAGCAGCTGGTCGCTCAGCTGTCTTGGGTGACGCTCGGCTATCAGTACGACTGGACCGCAAGAAGGTACCCTGAGGAAGAGAAGTTTCCGGTCCCTCAAGTGCGCAGCCCCAGCACGAGGACGGAGCCTCTGATCAGGATGCAGGAGATTTGTGCACTCGTGGATGAGGTCTCGAGCCGGATGAAGAGGAAGCAGATCGTGCCTGAAGCCGTCATAGTCAACTACTACTCGCACTCCCGCACGCTCGGGGGGCACCTGGATGACGTGGAACCAGATCAGGTAGGGAGCTCGGCTTCCTACTCTAGCGCTCACCATACGAGCAGGAAAGCCCCATCATCAGCATCAGCCTGGGCTGCTCTGCTGTGTTCCTCGCTGGCGGCCGGACCAAAGACGAGGAGCCAATACCTCTTCTTCTCCGCAGTGGAGATGTGATGGTGAGAGAAGGATAGGGGCAGAGGGAGGGAGAGGGGGGGAGTGAGGGGAGAGGGAGGGAGTGGGAGTGGTTTGAAAGAGAGAGGGCGAGGAAGGGAGGGAGGGGTGACGGACTGATTTCGTCTCAGGTCATGTCGGGCGAGTCGAGGAGGTGCTATCATGGAGTTCCGAGGATTCTCAGTTGGGGTGAGCTGAACGTTAGCTGGACGTCTTGATGCCAGCACGCGCTCAATGCTCTTCTCATGAGCGTCCTCGTCGCAGAAGAAGAAAAGGCTTACTTCCCAGAGGCCCAGCAGCTCGTCTCTCCCGCCGACCTCAAGTACCCCTTCCTCTGGGGATCGCCAGGACTGTGACTGTGGCACAGAGACCGGGGCGAGGACGGTGAAAGGATGATGGAGTATTTCAAGGTGAGCGATACCTCATGCGAAGAGGCCTTTGAGCAGGAGCTTGCAGTCTCATCGAATTAACCTCAATGTCCGACAAGTTCATTCCAACTGAAGCATCCGTTCTTCCCTACCATGTTGAGGAAGCCAACGGCGAGCACCTGGACAGGAGGAGATTGACGAGTTGCCTCCTGCACCTAACGAACTTCTCCCTCTCCTTCTCCTTCTCCTTCTCCTTCTCCTTCTCCTCCTCCTCCTCCTCCTCCTCCTTCTCCTTCTCCTTCTCCTTCTTCTCCTTCTCCTTCTCCTCCTTCTCCTCCTCCTCCTCCACCTCCCATCA